TATTTATTTATTTTTTTTTTTATTATTATCTCTTATTGATAATGTTGCATGTAGCAAAATTATCACTTTTCATACGTAGTCATAGTTCCATTATTCGTTGTTATTGTCATTATAATGTTGAAAGGTTGATCCTTTCAAAGGGGGGTGTATGTTCGCTCCGCAAGCTATATTCAAAATATTTCCTTTTCGCGCCGGTGCATTATCGCGGACCGAACAACAGCTGCAGCGGCAGTCTGATTGTCTGGTGAGTGCGCGCGTTGTCCCACCGTCGTTGTGTTATCTAACTGATAACGGGCAACGTGTGCATTCCAACGGTCGCTTTTTCGTATTTTTGTTATTTTTATGCACTTTTAATGTTTTTCTTCGTTCGTAAAGTTTTGTGTCGCTTTCAGTGCCACCGAAAGTCTTGTATTTTTTCGTATTAAATGTTTAAGGTGGTACTGATAGCATTTTTGTGAATTATGCGTTTTCTCATTGGTTATTCAATACATTCATTCGTCTTCGTAAAAACTCATAATATTCAATTAAATACATTCGCCTTTTCTGTTTTTTTTTCTTTTTCGCACGTCTCTCGAGCTGGTCGGTCCAAGTCAACCCCTAGCCAGAGCACACTTCAATATTTCATTCGTTTTATACATACTGAAGAAGCATACATTCATTTTATACATTTATACGTTCAATCATCCTGTGCTTGTTTCCTGTGAATTGCTTTCTGTAAGTATCGTTCAGTCATTTGTTTTGTTCAAACATTAAATATTATTCCCCAATTTAGGGCGCACATGAGATACTTACAGAAGCACGTGATTTTTGTGTCATCAGTGTCATTGTCCATTACATGTGTTCAGTGATTTATTCGTTTGAGCTGGTGGCCCGTTAGTCGTACGTTCTCGGGATTGCCACACATTTAATTATTATAATATTGTATTTTTATTGTGTAAATGTGTGCATCCTGAGACGGTAGCGTTAGGTTCAAAGCCGCTAACGGACACCAGTTCTCCAGGTAACCAGCTGACGAGCTGTCTTAAATTATTATTCAATTATTATTATTTTTATGTGCTAATCAATCACTGTTGAATTATTATTTGCATTTGTTATTATTATATTTTATTCATCTAGTGGGTGCCAAGTAGGCATTGCACACTTGTTATTATTATTAATTATGTATTGCTAAACACGCATTGTAATATTATAGAGAACCAAAGTACCTACCATCACTTGGAATTATAATAAACTCAATTATTTACCATATTGGCGTTCGGGTTATCTCTTTTAATACCTTTACCATTCATTTAAGGTCGTTGGTGTGATATTTATATCTTACCAACGCCTTGTCGTGAAGGCACCCTTACTTTAAATATTATCTTATTTTATTTATATTAAGAGCTGAATGCGACAACCCCCAAAATATGCAAAAATATGCAAAATAAAATTTCATATTTTAATTCTCTGTACTACAAAACGTATTTGTAGATCACTCTGCTATGTTTTACATCACCTATGATGGATATGCAAATGCTATAAGTCCCGAACCCTGGTTATAAGTTATACAATTTATAATATGTAGGTACCTACTACCTATAGGCTACTATATCAAAACTTTAACCACATTTTGGATAACACCTATAGTGTATTATTATAGGTTGGTCCTAACAAGAAAGTTGATAACAACCAAGATATGAGATCAGCCTACGATCACATACGATCTATAAGTCACCAGCTATTTGGTAAGATTTAGTTTACATTTCATAATAACTTTAATATAACTGAAGTCTGAAAGTAAGTGTTGATTTTTTTTTTAATCTAGTTCCTATACAAGTTATAACTAAAACGTGTTAATTTAGTTTTGTAGATTTTATTTTATTTAAAACGAGGGGCGTTTTGCAAAATTGGTGTTGCATTGGTGAGGGGGTTGATTATGTCGTTCGTGCGAGAGAATTAAATTACATCCCAACTACACTGCAAGAGAATCGAGGGTTTCCGAGAATTTGACAAAACCTGACATCGCAATTGGAAGGGGTGATTTCAGTGTAAATCGAGATTAGGTCACGCAACGAATGTAGGAGGTACCTTAGAGACCGGATATAATGCCATGACTTGGATAACGGAATCACCGTTTGTAACGATTTGACCCCTAGAAATCGTTACCGTTTTATGAGGAAAATCGAATAAAATAACGGTGTATATTTTCTTCTAATATGGTTGATTTTTGTATTTGTGTAAAATGTATAACTTTTATGTCACTGATCATTAAAAAAAAATTACGTTAAATCCCTGATGAATATTGTCGGAAAAACACGCATCGATCATAATATAAATTGCATTATTATTACGACCACCGTGACCCGAAGCGAGAGAAATTTTTGGCTAGGTATACACGTTTCGGATTCGGACGACCGTTTTGGAAAATGAACTCAAGCAGACATCAGAAAACATGGGAGAATTTTTTTTTCAAAAATGTATTACAATAGACTATACGATATATTATATGTGTGTGTGTATATACATATAATAATAGTATATAGTATATGTAACAGTACAAACAGTTGGAGAAAACGCGGGAAAAGTCATTTAAAATAATTTTTCTCCGTCCGTAATTTCCCCAGTGCATAGAAATTACCGTCCGGGATTTTTGCTCCCCTTCCACTGTACAATATACCTACACTTTTGTACTGCACGTACATGTATATATGTATATATATATATATATATATATATACCTATCTTTCTTGCCACTCTCATTCAGCTGACGCCACATAATAATCGATTTATAACAGTTTCTCGTCGGGCTTATGCATCTCTCTCTCTCTCTGTATAGTGTATAGTATATATTATGTACATTGTACATACACAGTACACACCTATAGTGTATATACGTATATATATATATATAAATATTCTCTCCCCTCCTCCTTCGCGCCCCCCCCCCTCACCCGCCCACACCAACGTCGGCCAATCCCCCGGCCGCCGCTCCAGCGGTTCGGCCGACCTATTTTACGACCCCGACGGGCAATTCCTCCGAGGGCCACCGCCGCCGCCGCCGCCGCGGATTATCTTCCTCTCGGCCGAGGCGGTGGCATGTCCAAAAACCCGAGCGGCAATAAAAAACGGTTAGTGCGGGACACGACCGAGAAAACCGTTCTGTAATGCGTTCCAGGTGCTCGAATACACCGAGCACAAACACGTAGGTATATTCTGCTAGCACATATACAAGTATTTTATACGGCTGCGATGTAAGTATAGCTGGTAGGTAGTCATAGGCAGGTACTGTGCGCTTACGCGGATAGGTGTATATAATATGCACGCGTGTATAGCAGAGGGCTTAGAGGAATTTTCAACGGAGGAGGGTCGGCTGGATATATTTAGTTTATAGATCCGGTGGCAAAGGAGGAGAGTTATGTTTGGAAGAAAAAAAAAAAAGGTCGACGAGCCGAAACGTAAACCATTACTATATTATAATATTGTTCAGTACAGAATATAATAATATTATAACATGGATATTAATTAAATATTTTTAATTTAATAATTATAACAATAGGTATGTTAGGTATTATATTATTATTATTTTACGATTGATACAGATTCGCACAATGTTGTGATTTTATTGATTTAAAGGACTAATCGAGGGACTAATGTAATATTCAAGTTGCCGGGGCATAAATAATTCGAACTCGCGGTCCACACGTTACATGATGCTATACGAATATAAGCTATAGGTATGTATAATCTCAATATTATTATAATAATAAAAAACGATATTATAGTATTATACTGTGGGTACTGAACCCGTTGGCGGTGGGGAGGGGTTGCGTATCGGCTTATATTTTCGTTTCCAGGAATCACGCGTTATCATCATATTAATGTTTTCTCGACCGTCTACGATAATAGTGTATCGTGATAATAATACATTATAACATTTTATCGTCTGCACCGTCATGTGCGGTGGATTTGGTTTTTTTTCCTCGAAAACGCTTCACAACGGCGGCGGCGGCGGCGGCGTATTGTAATATCACTAATATCGTAACAATATTATAATAACGCTCTGTATAACAATATTGTGCAGGCAGGACGTATAACCGCGTGCATGTTTTTTGCACCCCGAAAATCCGAAGTGCGTTTAATAATATTATAATGCGAGTTTGGATTTCCATAGTATATCACAGTTATTAATTTTATAACATATAATATTATATATGATTATCGCGCTATCGTTGCGGGATTTGGCGGCGTCGTCGTCATTCGCGGGTTGCAGGTGGGTTTACCCGACCATATATTATTATTATTATTATTACTATATTTATATACATACATATTACGATACGTACGACCTACCTACACCTACGCACGCGCATTACATTATACGCACACGCACGCGTATAATATATCATAACTTGGAGAAAAAGCTCTCCGACCTTTTTTGCAGGGGATCACATACTACCCACCTATATATGCCGAATCAGATAACTGTGCTGCTGGTGCGGTCCTTCCCGTTTCCGCCCTGCATAACACATTTATAACGGGTTTTTGGTAAATGTGAGCCGCTGCCCGAATATGCAGGTAACCACTTTTTTATTCGGTTACTCTTTTATGTTTTTTATTTTAATACCTACCACCGATAGTTATATGAAAGTTAAATGACTGCCGAAATGTCCGTACGTGATAATAATATTATACATAGTATATTATACAGTTGCAGTTTACCTATATACGAACAATTAATATCGAACAATCGATCCGAGTAAGAGAATTGTTGAAATTTATTATTTAAAACCTAAACCATTTATTATATTGTAATGATTGTCGCCCATCGACATTTAGTATAAGTAGGGCACGGCTAATGAGCCGAATGCAGCCTATATGGCAAGCGGGGAGTCCTCTCTTAGGTTTAATCGTTATGTCTAAATGCAAATATTGATATACTATATATTTATATGTCAATGCATTATTTAAATCGGTTAGGTTAAGTAATTTTTTTTTCTAAATGCATTATATTTTTTTTATATCTACTCGTCAAATAAACTAACTGACAAACTTACCGGTCCAAATTGCTCAAAGTAGTTTTTGACGTCTTCTAACGTTGTTGGCGCCGACAATCCACCGACAAAGATTTTTTTCGTTCGAGTCACCATCTGAAAATTATTACGCAATGTTTAATACGATTTTCTACGTCATGAATACTTATTATAGGTAAATTATAAATTACGACTTTTTTTAAACATTTTTTTTTCCACTTAATAATATAACTACTTATAATATTATCCTATCACAAAAATATTTTATGACATTCGCTCAAACATATTGTTTAAATATACCATTACTTGTGGTCACTAAAAAATAATTACGTAAGTTTTGTAATATAAAGCGTAGGTACAATATTTAAAAAAATAATATATATTGGTATATACCTAATATATATTTTTAAGCGTAATTAAAATACAGTCATAAATAGGGGTTATAAGTTTGTCATGACCGAAGTGTTAAACTTAGTGGTAAGTCCGCTAAGAATATAATAGTAAATACACTTAAGAGTATTAATCTAACTCTAAACTTAAACAGCATTCCATATTAGACGTAACGAATCCAAACCAGAACACTAAACCCACAATTATATATAATATAATATATGTTATGTATACAAGACAAATTATAAGCGGCCCAAGGATAATATAGCTCAATATTAATACTTGTAAATTATTAAGTTACTTCAAAATAACAATTCAATTTCGTATTTCCGTGAAAAATGTAAAAATATAATTTGCATCAACGTCTTATTGTTAAATCTTCGTTTTTATACTGACACGGATCCATCAAAAAACACATTAGTACGTATATTATGTATTATTAATGATACTATAATTGTGTTAACATGTACAAAAATAAAATTATTATCATCATATAAGTACCTAGGTATTTTAATTTTAAACAAATTATAGTGTCTAAATCAAGCAGGTATTGATTTTTTACGAAAAATAATATTATGAATCTTGAACAATTCGTTATTCACGTAACTACATGCATACGATTATGCATGTACAATTATTATCAAGTTGAAGTTATCCTAAAACTAAATAGGCATGTAAAAAGTTTTAATCATATTTGAAACGAATTATACGTCATAATAATATAAACCATTATAAAAAAAAACTTTACACAATTATGCACGCACGTTTACGCACGCACGCCCGGATAATAATAATAATAATAATATATATATTTTATCGACTGGTATTTTTATTTCCAAAGCGTTAAACAAATATGTGTCGTAATTGCCACCGTAAAGGGTATACAGTTTTGACAGCACTGAAAATCACACGCCAGCACCAATCGGCCATGTGTTTGTCTCCGTATAGAGTGTTGTATAATATAAGGTTTTAACGGAGCCGATCGTTTATATTTCAAAAATGTAATCCAACCCGATCCCCTCGGCCCGGGCAGGCGTATAATAATAATATAATAATATCAACGGCGTTGGGAACGAAAAAAAAAAAAACGAAGAGATTTCGGCCAACTTTATTATAATATAATATTCATTAGCTCTCGAGGGTTTTTAAATCATTTCTCGAAATGCGATTCCGTTTAAATATTTTATTGAGCCACCCGAGAGAGGGACGCGGTCATAAATAAATCTACGGCATTTAAAGCGCGCGTCCGTCAGTATTTCAAAAACAACGACACTAGCTATATAGCTATATATCCATATACATTTATACTTATTGTTGTGTATGTATTATTGTGCGTACACATTGCATTCCTAATATAATAAAATAACACAGTTCGTACAATACGATGTTTGAATTATTTCAAATCAAATATGATTTTTATAAACGCGTAGCATACCACCTAAAATTATAATAATAATAATAATAATATGTACTTACAAATTATTACAATATAACTATGGCTAGGTATACAATACAATACAATACAAAATACAATATAATATAATACAGTAAGTCATATACGCTTGCATCAAATACGACACGATATAAAATTTATCAACCTATATGTACTCCGTATTCAATATTATATTATTATTATATAATATGTAAGTACAAAACAAGAAAAGACCGATGACAATTAAAAATAATAGAAATTACAATAGATCGTTGCGGACAATATAATATTTTAGCAATACAATAGACTCACTGTAGAACACTAGATCGGTTGTACCATATCATTATTATTATTATTATTTTAATATTATATTAAGCGGATATCATGTTAATTCGTTTGAATATGGCATGACGATAATAATAATTAATCGGCACTCGTGTAATTTAATATAATATATATACGAGAGAGAGATAGAGAGAGAAATCTTGTATTATTATGGTCCCGTGATTACGCTCGCCGACCACAATATCGCTCGGTGGTGGGTGATTCAGTAGCGTTGTTTTGGGGTTGGGGGGGGGCGTGGGTGAAAGTGGTGGGCGCGCTACGTTAAGAGGGTGGGTGGCGGGACGGCAAGGGGTGTTGTGTAGTGGGTGATGGGGGGAGGGGGTGGAAAACATTTCGCATTTAAATCGGATATCCCGAAACGCTCTGGGTTCGACCCTATGGACTGTATATGCGGGGCTCCAACCGGGAAACGAAACGGTGTGCCGGCGGTTCTGGCGGAGCGGGAGTAACGGTGGTTGTAACGGTGGATAGGGGTCGGTGGACGGAGCGATAAATTATATCAAATTGTCCGGGGACTGAAAAAGGGGAAAAACAAAAAACAAAAAAAAAAAAAAAACAAATAGCCGTCGTTTTCGCGCTGACCCGTGCTGCTATCTGTGCGGCAAGTGATTTTACGCGGTAAAAACGGGTAAAAAATTATATTCGTTTAAAAAAAAAAAAATTCAAACTTATAAAAGATTTAATAAAAAGTTACTCCGTGTTACCTATATCACTGTAAGGGTGATTAATGAAAAACATATTATGAATATTTTTTTTTTTTATTAAAAAACCATCTGACACCGACGCAGGACAATAATACAATTATTATTACATAATACTCGCTTAACCACCCTCCGACGACGACGACTTGTGTGATTACATAACAATTATTATTCCGTTGTTGTGTAATTTTATGATAATATTATATTATTCGCGAGCATAATAATATGCTTATTATTATCATCATCGTTACATACCATGTTTTTAGGAGTCTGATGGCAAACAGTGACCACGGACTGTTGGTGTTGTTGGTGTTGTTGGTGGTGTTGTTGGTGGTGTTGGTGATGAGAAGGATGGTGGTGAACCGGATGGTGATGGTGATGGTGTTGCGGCGGAGGTGGAGGAGGAGGAGGAGCTGCGTAGACGGCTACGGGGAAAAGGGGGGACCCACCGAACGGACAGGGTTCCGTGTTTACGTGGATGTTGATAACTCGTGGGTAATAATAATTTTATAGAGCGCTATACAGCAGCAGCGACGGCGGCTTATAGCAGCGTGTACCGTTGCAGTAGTCGTATATAGCAGGCGGCAACAGCAGCAGCGGCGTTATAGCAGTGGCGGCGGCAGTGTAAGTGGTGGCTATATTATAATATATTATTATAGCTTCAGTAGGTACGAGTAGCACGTTGACGACAGTTTTAATTAAATTATTTCAATAATAATTCAAATAATACTAATAATAATAATGAAATATTACGGTATACTACGACGGCCACTGCACGGCTGTATTATTGAGAGCAAAAAAAAAATCTACGGCGCTGAGGCGGTTAAATCGCTTCAAAACGGTGGCGTTTTGGTGCGACGGACGCGGACGACTGCGGCGGCGGCGGCGACGACGACGAACGATAACAACAACAGACCCGACGGGACGACGAGGGGACCGCGAGCGCTGCCGTACCGTCCTGTGCTTTGAAACGCGCTCGAATGGGGTGCCACCTAGCGGGCTGGCCCGGTGGTGCCACCGTCGTCGACAGCGACGCTGTCGTGGGGGGTGGTGAAAACGCGAAGCGGCGGCGCGGCGGTAGCGTCAGCGGAAACGGCACCTGACCGTCGGCGAGTCGCGCGGCGCGCACTACAGCGGCGGCGGCGGGGGCGGCGATTACTATGTTATGTTATATATATATACAGAGAGAGAGTAATACGCACGCAGCGGCTGTATAATAATGTGCCGTGTACGACGACGCTGACGCTTACGCTGACGACGAGGACGCTGACGCTGACGACGACGACGAGGACTATACGACGACGACGACTATGCGGCGACGACTTCCGCGTGTGCCCATGGCAACGGCGGCGCACGCACTCTGTGTACACGAGCCCTCCGCCGCCCGACCGGCCGACTAGGGGCGGCGAACGCATCGTCGGCGGTGGCGGTGGCGACGACGACGACGACCGTAATAAATAATCCAAATAATAGGCTCGAAAGTTTTTTTTCTTCCTTTTTAGCCACCAAACCATCGTTGCCGCCGCCACGAGCTTTTCAATTAATAACTTTAGGAACAACTCATTTTTTAATGAATCGGTTAGGTCGGAAAAAAAAATCTTTCGAGTAAAAAAAAAAATACGTACGGAACAATTGAATAATTAGTTTTTAATAATGTTTTTTTTTCATCCCGCTGTCGTTTCGCTCACTCTGTGGTCACCACCACCCTTCCACCACACCGCACCCCTTACCACAGTAACCTAACCGATCAAGGCTGCCGCTCGATTCCGCGAGTCATTAAGCCGCCCGAAAACTCGCGAATTACCTAACTATAAATCAACGGATATATCCCAACCAAACACGTCAGAGACGCGTGGATATATGTTATATGAAAAAAAAACACCAAGAGAAGAAAAATCCCATCCAGAAGCATAATGCGAATAATGACATCGAATAATAATAATTTGGTTTAGACTCAACAGAATATACGCACAGGGCAAGGGAGATGCAACAAACTCATGTACAAATGGAAGTTCTGCAGAGAGAGTCTGGGATGCGACTATGGCGCAAATATACAACCAATGCAGCCATGCTAGATTGCCATTTAGAAGTTACGATGGTGACCTGGAGGACTTCATCAAGTGACCCCTGAGGCAGTGGCCTGGTCAGAAGCCTTGGATGTATAGACATCTAAACTTAAATCTGTGATACTTTATGGGATATTTGTTATGGTACCTTAGAATGTTTATGAATATTAGTAATATTTATAG